GGTATGTGCTTTGCACCTTCGAAGTGCAAAGTACTTCTACAAGACTGGCAGGATCCCAATCCTGTACTCACCCTGGATAGTGAGCAGATAGAAGTAATGCTGGTGGGGGTGTGAGTGATGAGATCAATGCATGTATAGTGAAAGCCAGAGCGGCTTATGCCAATCTGGGCCATCTTTGGCGCCTTCGTGATGTTAGTATGGCTGTAAAAGGTCGGATCTACAACGCATCGGTGAGAGCAGTTTTGGTCTATGCTTGTGAAACCTGGTCTCTCCGAGTGGAGGACGTTAGGCGACTCTCTGTTCGATCATCGCTGTCTCCGAAGGATTGCTGGCATTCAGTGGCAACACCATATCAGTAATGCAGAGGTTCGGCATCGTGTGTTCGGGCACAGAGATGATAATTCAATTGGTGTCACCATCTTGAAACACCGACTTCGGTGGCTTGGACATGTTCTCCGAATGTCTTCCCAGAGAATTCCACGTCGTGCATTATTTGCCGACTCTGGGACTGGTTGGAAGAAGCGGAGAGATGGTCAGTGCATGACATGGTGTCGTGGCATGAAAGAAAGCTGCAAAGGACTGGCTTGTGTTGGTCCTTCACGACTTCCTGGCTGGGGTCCGAGAGATGGTGCAACACAGTGGCTAGAGACGTTATCAGATATGGCTCAGAATGGAAGCCAGTGGCGATCCTGCTGTGACCTTTTACTTTCTTCATAAAAAGTGGTTGTGTCTCCCTTACCTGAAAGATTTCTTCCGATTGTACCTTTCCGTTCCCTCATTATTACTATTATTATTAGTACACTACCTTACACCAACCTCTTCGTTATTGTTCTCTTTTTTTTACGCTCCTTATTTGTTTTTCTTTCTCTTCGAATTCTCATTGTTTTGTGTGGCGCATATTCATTAGCGCTCTCTCGTACCAATATTCATGTGTTCAAATAAATAAATATAAATTACGATACTTACATGATTATTTGATCAGTATTGGTCTAAATATTCATTATTCTCGTCTAGGTATTACGTCCCTTACCTAATTAGACTGAGAAATTATATTTACACACAAAGACCTCATTGGTAATCCAGATGATTATAAATTGTGAAATCAGTTATATAGTTACATATGCAAAATTTGGTGACATCAATTTTTTTTTAATATCTGTTAGTAATACTTTGAGATTACGAAATGGTAAATTTTAATTTATTGCATTTTATTAATTACGAATGGATCGTATCACGAAGACTGACAGTGTATAGACCGTGAAAATACTGAAAACAAAATAATGAAGATTCTATCGATTTACCCAAACACCCAACTTTAAAACGTACTCCTAAAAATCAATATTTATTCATTAGATAAGTTGTGAAAAGTAGTTTCAAATTCCATGTATATGTGGTGAACACTGTTTTATTCACACTTTAGAACTCAACTGTTCGTAAACAAATAACTGATACATACAGGGTTAAAGGATACACAATTCAGAATATACAGCAGAGAAATGATCCACATTCTTTTAAATTCAGATTTATACTTTTACCTGTTTCTACTAATGTCTGGATTTTCGAGATCACAGTTAGCGCGAATACAACTTCATAATTTCGATAGTTAAATTGTTGAAATAGTATTTTATTTCAATGAAACCTATATTTTTACTTCAATACATCCCCGTCTTACGAATATCAAATAAGTACATTTAGATCCTGATTGTTAGCATTAAATAGTAAAAGTGTAAAACATTGGTCCATATACCCTACGAATCCAATCATGTTAACAGTAATAAACTATCTCCCTAATGATGAGTAAAAGATAGCAACAAACACAAGTGGTAACTAGGCCAAATTCATAACCATTCAAACTAATTATGATACTCATTGGTTTTGTATATGCATACTCTAATGTATAAAAAAGACTCCGTAAATACTTACATTAGTATACTGTCTGGTTGTATGAATTTCAAACTCGATGGGAACATACTGTCGTAAGTACATATCATGATCGCTTTTTTAAGCTATACACATCAACATAACCAAAGATTTTAGTTCTCACATAAATAACTTTAACAAACACTAAATGAAATTTATGTCGAGATATTTTGTAAACTAATTTGTTCTGCCAGTTTGCAGGAAATGCTGTTGCATCAGTTTTAAACAACAAACAAAGGAGGCAAAGTTAGTATTTCGCTCCATGAAGTACTAGTGAATATCATGAACGGTTAGATACAATGTATGCCGACTACCAAATTTCACTAACCATGTCAAAAACACCTGCGACAAATTGATCATTCACACTTTGCTTCTTACATCGTCAATAGAATTTCTCGACTCTAACAAATAAACATGATTATGGTACGTGCTTGGAGGTAATGGACACCATGTCTTAGAGATAGAATTTGAACTGGTTGGGTGTCGTCAACAACCTAACTGATGTACCCCAGGAAATCCGGGCCCATATCACTTACGAACTTGTATTAGTCTCTTCAAAATTACACACATCTTTTTGATGAATACGAGTATACTGTCAAATTTAGGTACATGGTTATTTTCCTTTTTTATGAATCCTTGACATCCAAGTTCACCACAAATATCGTACTATTTGGACTAGTGATTCCACTATGACGGTAAGAGCTTACAAGCACTTAGGACGAGACATTGCAATGATGAATGCTAAGTGACCAACTAGCATAAAACAAACCACTCATTAGGAGAAAATCACAGCAGTACAACAGCCTTTTATTTGACGTGTGTATATTTAAAGACGGACCAACTCCAAGAGTAACTCACTGTTATCGTGGAACAGCTTCGCTTGAGTTTAGACCACAGATCTCTACAAATACTATTGTGGTTTAATATTCAGTCAGTGGAAAATAACGTAGAACCTGGTACGTTATGACATCAGTTCAAGTCGCCATACTCGATTAGGACGAGATGAAATTGTTAGAATAAATCACACAGTAGATGCAGTAAGAGTACGAGTTATAGAAAGGATTAGGAATCGAAGATACAATTGAAGAAAATAAATCAGTGGAATAAATGTTATTAGAAATCCAAAAGCTTGAATCCAAGGAGACGAAAAGAGAGCAGACCTACACCATTCAAGAGATCATGAGCAATCTTATCCGGTCCCTAACAATTGGTTACGATGATTGCCAATTAGGTTTAAAGTTTGTCCGTTTTGCAAATAATAATAGCCGCCAACAAACTACGGATGTATCATGACCAAACTCTTCCGTTCTACGCTCAAGTAAGTCGTACGACTAGTTGTGGTCGTTACTAGTGATCAATATTAGGATAAAGGCATTCTCGATAAATTCTATCTTATTAGAACGTTAGCCATGCTTGCTTTTATTTTTATTCGGTTAACACACAACAGAAGTTACCCAGACCAAACAAAGTCAGGACATCTGAATCACAACCGTTCCCGAGGCAAACTACCTCTTCCGTGTAGATTGCCGACAGTCAAGTCCCAGCTCTACTTTCTACAGGTATCTCCTGAAGCTTACAAATATTTGTGTAAAGCACATAGCGGCCTAAGCCATTTCCACTTATTAAGTTATACGTAATAACTGGGATAACCATTTTAGAACATAGTAGTCTAGGAAAAATTCGGACCCGTGAATGGAATGGTGTATTTTGATAAAGCAGCCGCGGTGACACCTGCGAGATTATCTGTTTTTGTAATATCTTCTATTAGCCAAACCCCTGATCAGTGGCCGCGACTAGAAACTTAGCAATTTTACTGTACTCACTATGGAACAAATGCAGTATACACTTTCTCATGTTTTACAATTTCAACTCCGACATTTCGAAAAAATCAGCATAGGGTTGTGGAGATAGTTGAGTTTTAACTGAAATCATGAACCGACCATCGTTAGACCACTGTTCTAGGTTTTCAATGGTGGTCTAACATTGATCGCGTCATGATCTTGAAAATAGCAGATGGTGAAATCACTAATATTTTACTAATTACAACCAAGATACGGGCTACTACAAACAATACATTATTCGGATAAGCGCAAGTAATAGAAAGTTAGGTATCTACTCATTAGAACCACTTACACCACAAAAACCAACCACAATATAAAACGACAACCGCTACATGACATTCGTTGATATTAAAAACTAGGATAAAGAAAACATGTAATAAACCAACAGGTGAGAAATACAAGCCACAATGTAGGCTTCGAAATAGACTGTTACAGAACCTTCTAAAGAAAAAATGACAATAATTGTACGTTTCAAAACATGAAAATGGAATCATTATTGCTAAAACATGACTTATTATTCTGGAGCTTTAAAGAAAGACAAAAATGAAACTGCTTATAATGCAAAAGTGAAAGTGACGATTAAAAAAAGATTAAACTCTGAGATTTTGGTACATAATTGTCAATAGGACCAAAGAAATAATCAGCAATTAATGCAGAAAAACGGAATGGATAAGGAAAGTAATCACTTATTAAGACATCCTCTTAAGGAGCCAAAAACAACGGAACAAATGCATGACCATTAAAAGAATGTTGAGAACTATGAAAACGGCCTGAGCCTGAAGTATGAGCAATCCGAGACCACAACACTAGGGTAAAAGTGGTTGTGAAAACAGCTAATTGTCATGTAAAGAAATTTATGAAAGGCACGTGTGTAATCACTTGAAAAAAAATTCAACATACTGCATACGAGCATTAGTATGCACCGCCGATAATAAATCGGACTTAATGCACTAGACTAACTAAGTAAACAAGAGACTAAATAAATGATACAATAAGAAAAAAACAATAGTCCGTAATCTCAAAAATATTGCAAAAATACCATGAAAACAATCCAGATAAAATGCTATCTAATGTTTCTAAGACCGAAAAATGTTCAGTAAAATTAAATTTTTCGATGGTTTTTTGAAACCGTAAACGGAGCCAAGAAATGAAATATTAATAATAATAATAATAATAATATAATAATAATAATAGTAATAATAATAATAAATAATAATAAATAATAGCAATAATAACAATCAATATAAATATGGGAAAAGGCCGAACTCTGTTGAAACTAGAGTCCACAAAACTGATAAGAAAAAAATGAACATGAATAAACCGAAAAAACATACTGTAAATTGAAAAAAAAAGTTATCACGAGCACCCCGAAATACTCACGGGGGAAAATGACTCTTGAAGCACGAAAGCTAGAAACTGTCCAAAACGGACAAGAATGAATACTTAGTAAAACCAAATATGATTTCGAGTAAAACATTGTGATGCTATGAGTGAGTGGAAGAACGATATCTTGGGAAGTATGCTGGCTGTGCTGTGGATAGTAACCGGCTGAAAATCATTGTTAACATATATATAAAGTATTGAGGACCAGAACATTATTAGAACTGCGAGCAAGCGTAACAACATAACCCTCGGTCGTTATTTTCAAGCAGCATGAGCGACTGACTTTTGTTTGATTGCAAACGAATTCGCTTAGCAGCTCTCCCGATCGACTAAACACAGCAATATGAAAACGGTTCCCATGTGAGTCTCCAACTAGTACATCTCCATGGTCGCTAACATCTATACCGTTTGGAAAGTCAGTAATTGTTTCGCCTCCTATACGACGAATAAACGACCCATCCTCCTGAAAAACAATGACACAATGTGCCTGAAAATGCATATTTAATCAGCCGAAACATTACCTTGAAATCGCAAATATAGTACTCTCGACCATGTATCGCGACATCTGATGGTTCTCTCATGTGGTTACTACAATCGAACCAACGGATCAGATCACCTTCCTCTGATACAACAAAAACCGATGGCGAAACACTATCAATAGCAACAATGTGTCCTGCAAAGTTAAAAAGATAGAAAACGAGATACCATGTTGATTGATTGCAAGCCCTGCAACAATATCGATGTACCGAATCGGGATACGTCGTACAAAATGACCACTTCGGCTAAACAGCTGCATTCGAGACCGTTCGTTCCCACGATCACACACCACATATCGTTGGCTCTGTCTAATAATTGCCACTTTGCGCGGATACCACATCAAGCCATCCACTCTACCAGAGACTCCAAAGAATGATACAAAGTCACCACGCTTTGTGAATATCTATGAAAAGTTAACAAGTTAGTAAAAGACTTGCCTGTATTCGATGATTATATGTGTCAGCAACAACTATCTCTTCCTCAAAACCCAGACAAAAGCCATGGGGAGAATTCAGACGTCCTAATTCACAACCGAGAGAACCCCACTTCGTCAAAAGATTCATTTGTGAACAGCGAGCCGCTCTCATTCGACTGTATTCGTACAAGGTTGCATTATAATTGACAGGAAGCTTTTGTTTTAAAATAAGACTAGAATCCACATCTAATGTTGATACATTACTTCCTGGGGCTCTCAGGTTGTCTGTAGTGATAAACGGATTGCTGAAAACTGGGTCGACTTGTGTTACGTTACACAAGAAATCAGGCGGCTCAAGACTTGGTAAAGTAACATTCAAATCACACCAGTTACTAGTGTGGCGTCCAGGAGCACCTGAATTGCTAGACCTCGATATGTAGTTAATCATATTCCCGTTGCCAACTGCCGATGGATTGATATTTTCACACGTACTGTCTTGCTGTACCAGACTAACTGGTGGTAAATGCACTGTGGCTGAATGATCCAGGCCCCCAAGATGATCCGGATCCATGTGACCATCAACCTTGAGAGTCAGTTGCTTGAGATCGTTAGCTATATCACCCACACTACTCAATACAGCTATATGGGAGTTTGAGGCCGTAAATCCTTCTAATACAGAATCAGAAACCTGTTGTAAATCTTGGTCTAATCCATTCGTAAAGCTGAAGGTACCGAAATGTTGATGAATGACATCGTAAGTTGATAATCCTGGTGAGAAAACAACTTTGGCTGAAGGGTCATTGATAACTTGCTGCTTTGATAACTTGTCAAAACAAGCAAGCACATTTTTAAAGAGCTTGCAAATTTCAATATTGGAACATTTTTTTAAGTAGACATTTACAAAGTCACATGCGAAATCTACATGATCTACAGTCTTGCTCATCGTGTTAATTCGAGACCATATTTTCATCTCTAATTCGTCATGGATTTCTCTATTTTTGTGGACAAACTGATCCTAGGAGAAAGTAAATTGTATCTAGCTCACTCACCTTGATTCTTTCGATGGATGTTATCCACTGTTTACACGTTTTATTTATCAGGGTTTTGTTGGCATCTCTGGATGAACTTAACTCTGAAAGCAAACTGTGCATCATCTCAATAGAATCGCGGAAGTCTTTTTGCCTCAACCGACAACATTCGACCATATCTGACAGTAAAGAGTCTATATGTGTGGGTACCAACTCCAAAAGGATGGTTATATGTCCTTTATGTTCGCATTCAAAACACGTTTCACAAAGAGGAATCTAAAGAGGAAAAATTATTTAGGACTAGTTTTTTACATGACACTGCAAACAGAATGAAGTGAACGTTGATTCTGGATGAATTGTACACATGACTGGTTTAGTGTTCAGCATGTTGCGTTGCAAAATCTCCGCATTTCCTTTTTCTTCCTCAGTTAGGTCAAGTATTTCGTGATTTGAGAAAACTTTCATAACCTAACATTTTAGATAAATCAAAAATGTGGAACAAACCTTGTGAATATCGCGACACCGTTCACACAGTGTTCCTGCGCAATGTAGGCATCGGTAAAGAGCATCGTTTCCATCAGTACATACTGAACACTTAACAGTTGCACCACTCACTTTATGGGAGCCGTCTCCTTCAGAGCGCGTTTGGGCTACAGATAAATCATAAGCTTCCAGTGTCTTGACACTTCCAGATAGAGTATCACATCGTGGGCATTTAGTGTAAGGTACCATGCTATCATTTTTCTCGAAGTTTCGGACGCAATCACGGTCAAATATGTGCAAACAACTCAGAATAACCGGGTTAGTAAATGGCTTCTCACAGATCCCACACAACGTAGGCAGTCCTCCTGCCTCTTCTAGGGTAGAAATTTTACTGAAATCATCTGAAAAAATATTATCTAATCCGTCAGATGATTCACATGATTCGTCCAACATATCAAAAAGACCTAGCGTCAGACTAGCTTTGAAAGTGAGTATACAAATTAAAACAAACCGTGACATTCATCAACAGTAGGAAATAAGTTTTAAAAAATAGTTAACTTAAAGTATTTTGTGAAGGCTGCTCGAGGTAACCTAATGATGACATGAACTAGAAACTATAACACTTTAAAGGCTATTTAAAAAGAGTGATATTTCCCCTCGCGTGGTAAAATTACTGGTTTTGATTAGCTTTTGTGTGTAAAGTCTACCACCTTTACACAATGAGAAGTTATCACACTTAAGCATCAAAGAAAGTGCTTTTTAGATAGATTTAGTCCCAACATTTTTGTGAATGTCCTTAAAACTAAAGATTCAAATGGTTCAAATGGTTGTGGATGGAATAGAAAATGCTTTCGTTTAACGGGGTTCCGTGTCCAGTAGCAGTGGATCACTAATACCTTCAGGCAGTAACCCAGGTATATTAACAATAATAGAGGGAAAATGAATTGATAAACCATAGAAGATATTATCCTGTAGCGGTAAATAAATCCCCAAAATAAATAGCACTAGGTTTTCGACATTGGGTGCTGACCATATGTTTTAGTGGACTCATTTAGCTGAAGACGCTCGGTCAGGCATCTGCACCAGATCACGTGTGGTAACGCCGTGCTCAACATCAACCGCAATCGCTAGCCAGTTTAGATCAGAGAATTCCGATATATTGGTCATCGCCAAATATACTCTTCCAATCTCCTCGACTCTGTCTTTTGATTTCTCTGGGCGGGAACGAAATATATTAGAAGGTGTTACTGGTAGAAGCGTTGTCAAACACTGAATACCTGTGACATCATCATTGGTGAAACCGACGTGATCTGGTACACCTAATTGCAACTGTGAGTCTGTTCCTTTTTGGGATTTTTATATATCATTGCCTTATTTTTTTATTTTTTTTAAACATTGTGATTTTTTTTCGTGTTTTTTCCTGGATATATATATTTTCCCCTCGTTCATTATCGTACTTCATACTTCATCATGACTGAACAGACACCTAAAGTACTCAAGCTTAAGACTTTGTCCCCACCTTCGTTTCAACTGATGCCTTTCTGGCCTGACAACATCGAAGCCTGGTTTTGCTACGCCGAAGCCGACTTCTCCGAGCACGGCGTGATCGACACACGTGCACAATTCCTCGTTGTAGTCAAGGCACTACCGCGCGAATTCAACAGGTACGTAACACCTAGTATGTTTACTAGTGATGTTTCCGATCCTTACGAAATCTTAAAACGCTCGATTCTTAAACGAGGAGACCTAACCGATCGACAAAGGTTAGATCAACTCTTCAACAATATCGACCTGCAACACGGTTCTGCGACAGACATGTTGCAACGGATGAGAGAGGTTATAGGCCCAAGAACTTTCGACGAAGGCCTATTCAAACAACTCTTCTTGTCAAAACTTCCCCAACAGGTGCAAGCAGTTCTGGTCTCGTTCCAGAACAACGCCTTAGACGAGCTAGCTGCATCTGCCGACCGCATTTTAGAAATTACGAAATCTACTACCGAGGTATTTTCAGTCAAAGAAAAACCTCAAACGACTCAGAATGATATAAACGACTTATGTCACACACTCACGCGTTATCTTAGTCTTCGTACCGACCGTAAGAGATCGCGCACACCACGTAGAAGCATTTCTCGTAAGCGATCTGTCTCTAGACCACGAGAGACAGATAACCCCGACTGGTGCTGGTATCATAACCAGTATGGAAAGTTTTCCAGAAATTGCAGAAAACCCTGCAATTTTCCCAACACGAAACCGACCGATTCGAAAAGCAATTCGGGAAACTTCCAAGCCGGCACGCGTTAACGGCAACCGTAGCCGGCGAACAAAGCCGTCTGTTATTCGTCACAGATGTGACAACGAGAGTTCGCTACCTCGTCGACACTGGCGCAGAAGTTAGCGTTCTCCCAGCAAATCCTAACGATCGACTACACGAATCGACCCTAAACTTACAGGCGGCAAACGGAAAAACGATCGCTACGTATGGCAAAAGGTACGTTTACCTTAACGTGGGTTTACGCAAACCCATTCACTGGATTTTCGTTGTTGCAGATGTTTCTATGCCAATCATTGGTATGGATCTTCTACAACACCACAATCTGATCATCGACACGCGCAAACGGAGGCTAGTAGACGGGAACACTAATTTGTCCGTTTGCGTAACTTCTTTTACTGGTTGTAGAGTATCCCCAGTCACATTTAAACATATGATAGACCCACTCTATCAACCACTACTCGATAAGTACCCTGAGATACAACAAACTCAAACGAAACTACCGTGTGTAACCAGCAAAGTTACACATCACATCACGACTACAGGACCACCTGTATTTTCTAAAGCACGACGACTAGCTCCTGAAAAGCTAAGGTTAGCGAAAAACGAATTCGATCACATGATGGACTTAGGAATCATACGACCGTCAAGTAGCCCATATGCATCTCCGTTGCACATGGTCCCTAAAAAGGACAGCAACGATTGGCGTCCAACTGGTGACTATCGGCGATTGAACGCGAAAACCATTCCCAATCGTTACCCGTTGTCTCACATTCACGATTTGACAGCTACCTTGAAAGATACAACTGTCTTTTCGAAAATCGACTTGGTTAAAGCGTATAACCAAATCCCTATGGCTACTGACGACATACCGAAAACGGCTATCATAACTCCCTTCGGTTTCTATGAATTTTTGCGAATGCCTTTCGGTTTAAGAAATGCTGCTCAAACATTCCAAAGATTCATAGACGACGTTTTTCGAGGTCTCAACTTCGTACACGCGTATGTTGATGACTGTCTAATCGCAAGTCCGGACAGAGAAACACATCTCAAGCATCTGGATCTTGTTTTCGAACGACTTCAAAAACATGGCATAACTGTAAACGTTCAGAAATGCCAATTCGGAACCGACTCGTTAGACTTCCTAGGACACACTATCGATGCTCAAGGCATTCGACCTCTTAGGACCAAAGTGGCGGCCATTCTGGATTACCCAGAACCGACCACCGTCAAGCAATTGCGCACGTTTAACGGCCTGGTAAGTTTCTATAGACGTTTCATACCGAAATGCGCATTACTTATGAAACCTCTGACCGACCAACTTCGTGGAAATGCGAAATCCATTAATTTGGACGACACCGCACGAAAAGCATTCTCCACAGTTAAGGAACTGATTGCTAAAGCAACAATGCTAGCACATCAGGACACCCGAGCACCCATTAGCATCGCAGTAGACGCATCCGACTCAGCAATCGGAGGAGTCTTACAACAATGGGTTAACAACTCCTGGCAACCCTTGGCATTTTTCTCTAGAAGGTTGCTAGACACCGAATCGAGGTACAGCACATTCGGTAGGGAACTCCTAGCTATGTATTGTGCTGTACGGCATTTCCAACACTACATCGAAGGTCGTGAATTCACTCTTTTCACGGACCATAAACCGCTCACTTTCTCGTTAAGCTCTCCTTCTGACAAGTACTCTGCCCGTGAGTCTCGACAACTGGACTACATTTCGCAGTTTACTTCAGATATTCAACACGTCTCTGGAGCAAACAATGTAGTTGCAGACGCTTTATCTCGTATAACTTCCTTGAACAGTTTCCAAGGAATCGACCTTCTTAAACTCGCCCAGCTTCAAAAAGAAGACAGTGATCTTCAGCACGAGTTATCGTCCACAACACTTAAACTACGCATCAAACAGATGGGAACAGGTAAGGAAACCTTACTTTGTGACACATCTACAGGTAGGGATCGCCCAATCGTGCCGAAACATTATCGACGCAATGTCTTCAACACATTGCACAAACTTTCGCATCCAGGTGTTCGTGCAACCATCAAGCTTATAGCAGAACGGTTTTGCTGGCCTGGAATGAATAAAGACGTGAGGGAGTGGGAACGCTCCTGTGTAAGCTGCCAAAAATCTAAGGTTATAAGACACAATAAATGTCCGTTAAGCTCGTTTAAAACTCCCTATGCTCGTTTCGACCATGTTCATTTGGATTTGGTAGGACCTTTACCAGATTCAAATGGATACTCTTATCTCTTAACCTGCGTAGACCGTTTCACTCGATGGCCAGAAGCAGTACCTATCAAGGACATCACTGCTGAAACAGTGGCCCGCACCTTCGTCGAACGATGGGTAGCAAACTTCGGCTGCCCTTCAACCATCACTACAGACCGCGGACGTCAATTTGAATCTGATCTTTTCCGTCGTCTGACCACTCTTTTAGGAAGCACTCGATTCCGAACGACCGCCTACCATCCACAAGCAAACGGGTTGGTAGAACGTTTTCACCGACAACTGAAAGCTTCGCTATCAGCTGCAAACGTTTCACAGTGGACCGACGCTCTTCCACTTGTCTTACTAGGTATCCGTAATGCAGTGAAAGCTGACATTGGATACACTGCGGCTCAACTCGTTTATGGAACGACACTTCGACTTCCAGGAGAATTCGTGGATCCTTCATCCTCTTCAATGAACATGGATCTAACCTCCTACACGAACAGGCTTACAAACGCAATGCGTTCAGTTAAACCTGCTTCCACTCGACCTCAATCAACTGATGTTTTCGTTCAACCTGACTTACGATATAGTACACACGTTTTCGTTCGTCGAGACTCGCATCGACGACCATTCGAATCAGCATACGAAGGACCCTTCAAAGTTCTTCAACGTGAATCTAAGTACTATATAGTCGATAAAAACGGAACCAATGATTGCATCAGCATCGATCGCTTAAAAGCAGCGTATTTAGAAGGAAATCCTATCCACGTGGATTTTCCTTCGGTACAATCGAACGACACGACTCCGACACTTATAATACCTCATTCGACAACCAATACACACGATGATACTTCGACGGTATCCGAAAATAAACTTAAAACGACGCGTTCTGGAAGAAGGGTGAGATTTCCAGAACATTTAAACGACTATTGCACGTAAGGTACTTCTCGACATTTTATATTATTTAAAAAAAAAAAATTTTATTACGCTTATATATTTTTATTTCTATTTTTAAAAAAAACAACAAAAAAAAATCAATTTTTTTAAACGCTATTACGTGTTCATGAGTTTATTTTCCATTTTTTTACGCC